AGTATAACCCAACTGCATGTGAGAATGTATCCAAAGAAAGTGTTAATCGGACAAGGTGGTGTTAGGGTGGTCAGCAAAGAAAAGGGTGTCAGAGAGAGAAATGCTGGCAGTATCTAGTGTAAAGGGGCCTGGCCCGTCGCGGATGGGAGCATCAGACCTGCTCAGCTTCTGATTATGCTCTAAGTTTTACATGTACCTTGCCTAAATGAAGAGAATGCACTGGCTGGAGGATGCTCATGTCCTATCCCCTTCGCATTTGTATTTCTCACTTTAAATGAATAAACCGCTATTCTGTTTTGTATCCGGAGATTTGCTTACAGAGAGAAAACTTGGTTGGCCAGAGAAAATTAGGATCCAGTTCCCTTATGGTTATAGTTATAAACTGTAAATTATTTAGTTATTTAAATTGTATTTAAATTGTAAACTGTATTATGTAAACTGTAAATTGTTTATCCAAAAAAACCAAATCCACTGCTGTTGAGTTGATTCTGACTCATAGCAACCCCCACTGGGTTTCCAAGGCCGTAGTTATGGAAGTAGATTGCCCAGTCTTCCTTCCACAGAGTGGCTGATGGGTTTGAACCACCAACCTTCTGATTAGCAGCCAGATACTTTAGGCACTGTGCTACCACAGCTCCTTAAATTATTTACAGTTATAAATAATTATAGTTGTAATTGTAAATTATACTTCCCTTATGGTTATAGGTGTAAAGTGATGTTCTGTTTTATCAACAAGCTTTGGAGAGCTTGTTGATAGAAGTACATCCCTCTGAAATGGATCTTTTCTTACTTCTTAGCCTACAAGATTGAGAGCAAAGCCCTGGCCTATCATGACCTCGTTAGGTACAGCCACTGCCTAGGAGCCCAGGCACAGGTAGGCTGCTTTCTGCCAAGATGTGATCCTTTGTATTCTTGACATTTCCACATAAAGTGATGCCAAGAAGAGGGACAGGCTCCATTTGCTTGGTTACAATGTGTTAGAAGGACACTTCCTTGAATTCTAAACCCAGTATGCTTCTGTAGTTATAGTGGTCACACATAAATGCTAACTAGTAACAGGAAAATTATTGGAAATAAAATAGAAAACACCATTTGTTAATTTGGAATTCTGAAAGTAGTACTAGTTTTTTGAAGTTATTCTTTTAACAAAGGTCTAATTTTCATTAACAATTCTATAAAGTAGGAGCTATTATATCTCTAATGTTAAGAAAATAAAATTAAGAACTCAGGTTAATTAACTTGCCTAAAGTCACAAACTAGTAAGTGGCAGAGCTAGCACTAATCCAGTTTTTTTCTGTCCCAGATCATAGCAGACAGTAGATAAAAGCAGTTAATAAAAGACTCTAAGACCAGCTGCCGGAAGCAGAGAGCAAGGAGAAGTGACAGTTGGAAGCAAAGCACAGAACAAAAGATAATTAGAGAAGCAGAGTGGTTGAGCCTTTCTTTATAGCCTGAACAGCTCTATAAACTTTAATAGTTCCTAAGGGTATTTCCAAATACTACTTTCAAACACCTTAAAGATAAAAGCTGCCTAGTTGGAGAAAGCCAAGACTCATGAAACTGATGGACTTGCCATTTCTCAACACTTGCAAGGTCATCCTGATTACCAGCCGATGTCACATACTGGTCTGTTTCTGTGGTGGTTATGTTTGTGTGTCAACTTGGCTGGGCCTGGTTGAGTGGCTGGGCAGCTGGATGTAGTATTCCCCATGATAAGATTGGTAATCAACTCCTTGGTGGAATCTACTGGGAGCAGCTGAATAGCTGCCTTAGGGAATGTGGTCTGCTTCCTGTATTTAAGCAGAAGCCTTGGGAATGGTCTCTAGCCTTTGGCATGCTTGGACCCTGCATATAGTGTGTTGCTCAGCAGCCTGCTATGCTCTGCCGACCTTGGGACTTAGAATGGACTTAAGTTAATGGCCTGCCATGTGGTTTGGTAACATCAGGACTGTGCCTTTTTACTTGTCAACCTTGGGGCTTCTTAGCCTCAGCAGCCAACAGCTGTCTGAGTGAAGAACTGCCTCTAGCTCCAGTAGGCCGGGAGCAGGAGGCAGAGCTGGACCCCAAGGTTGAGCCTGGCACTTTGAACTTGGACTTAAAGCCTCCAAATTGTAAGACTAAACTCCTGTTTGTTAAAGCCATCCCATTTGTGGTATATTTCTTGTCAGAGTGGCACTAGGTAACCAGAACAGTTTCCTTTCTGGATCAGTTGTACTGTCTGTCATAGCACAGTAAGATACTATGCATACTGAAATCTCAGGTGTTGTCATGCACTGGAATTTATGCTCTAGTAGGAGTGAGAACTGATCTACCACTAAGTGAAGAAGTGACCAAGAATAAGTGATTTATCTTCTCTGCAACTCAGTCTCTTCATCTGCAAAGTGAAGGATGAATTAAGCGAGTGCTATAGTCCATCTGTAGGAGCTCTGGTAGCATAGTGCCTAAGGCACTTGACTGCTAACCAGAAGGCTGGCAGTTCAAATCCACCAGCCACTCCTTGGGCGGAAGGTTGGGCAATCTACTTCCGTAGTGATACTGCCTTGGCAACCCAAGGAGGGGTCACTATGAGTTGGATCCGACTTGATGGCACATAACAACAACATAGTCCACCTGTAAAACTTTATGATTCCCTAAGATTACATCATATTTAAGATAATTTTGTTAATTAAAAAAGGGACTTTCTGAAATATTTTTAAAAGACTGATATAAAATGATTAATTAAATAAATTTGGTACTCAGGAGGGTAAGCTTCAGTAATGTGTAAACTCCTCGGTGGGACATTTCCCTTGACCATACTGCACAATGAGGCACTGTGTGCCATTCCACATCACAACTACTATGCTGATAAACAGCTCAGAAAACGCATTTAAGTAAATTATTGGATTATGATTCATAATGGGCTGTCAAGGCATAGAAACTTATTTTGGGTAGATTTTAAAACTTTGAGGTTGTGTGAAGATCAGTTTATAAATAGGCTGGTTTAAACACAGGGTATACAATATGCCAAAAAGCACACATACAAGTCTCTTCCTTGAACAGTAAATGGCCTGGTTTTTGCTTATATATAGTATGAAAAATAAATTTCAGACCCATACACAAGTTTACGTTGCTTATTAATATATGCTTCTAAAACTAGTTCTTTTATTCATTCCTCTAAAACTGTTTTGTAATAAAAACAATGTTAAATAAAGGATCTGTGCCACTAATTCATCAAATAATTTGCTCATCCTGAATTCATTTCCTAATACATATACAAGGAGGGAGCTGTGGTGGCATAGTGGCTAATACACTTGGCCTGCTAACCAGACGGCTGGTGGTTCAAACCCACCAGCCACTCCTCGGAAGGAAGGTTGGGCAATCCTACTTCCGTAGTGATACTGCCTCGGAAACCCAAGGAGGGGTCGCTATGAGTCGGGTTTGACTCAACGGCACATAACAACAACAACAACAATACATATACAAAGCTACTTCATTTTAAAAATAAAAACAAGTTAGTATTTATGGAGTACTTATTATTTGCCAAGCACTATTCTAAGAACTTTCATTGCAATAATTACTTTTAATCCTACAAAGTGGAAACTACTCTTATTCTCATTTTATAGATGAAAAAGCTGAAGTAGAAGGTTTAAGTAACTTGCTGACAGTCACACTATCTTGTAAGTGGTGAAACAGGAATTCAAATCCAGGCTTTACTCAATAACTGCCTACCTTCCCCATCGTGTCCTCCTTTTGACTATGTACTTCTTGAGGACAAGGAACAAATCTCACGCCTTTTTCTGGCATAGAACATTTCTCTAGTGACTAGGAGAGTACTGCCGCACAGTGAGTACTCAGCATGCCTACAGACTTGAATCTAATCCTCATCCTACAATGATCATCTTATCAAGTTAGCTATGAGCAACAAGGGAGCTCTGGTGGCGTAGTGCCTAAGGCATTTGACTGCTAACCAGAGGGCTGGAGGTTCAAACCCTCCAGCCACTCCTTGGAAGGAAGGTCTACTTCCGTAGTGATACCACCTCAGAAACCCAAGGAGGGGTCACTATGAGTCAGATCCGACTCGAGGGCAATGTGTATAAGCAACAAATTAACTCTCTTTAATGCAGACAAATCTCCACATAACTTACTTTATTTTTAGTGGTAGAAAGATGATAAAGGACACTGTGAGGTGTGTGTGTGTGTGGAGGGATGGGCAGGGACATGGCACACTGAGATTAAAAATGTGAGACACACTTTCATGTCTGATTCACTCCACTTTCAAAAAATGTCAGTCTAAGAGTTTATAAATTTAGCTTCAATTTAAGAAACCACCTTAAAACTAGGCAGAGAGAAAGGAATATTAAATTCTCATCAAAAGGAGACTCCTTTCTAGAGTACATAGGGAGCTGGAACACTTTGCTGTCAGATAACTTCAGTTTTCAAAGATAGAGATTGAACTTTAAGCAGCTAATGATAAAAAACAATGGGTATGTTAATGCAAACATGTACACTAGATTTGATAGTGTCCTCCCCAAATTTACATCCACCTGAAACCTCAGAATGGGACCTCATTTGGAAACAAGATCTTTGCAGACATTCTTAAATTAATACTAGGTCATACTGGATTAGAATGGGCCCTTGGATCCAACATAACTGGTGGCCTTATAAGAGGAGAGGATACACAAAAAAGGAAGAATGCTATGTGATCATGAGACAGAGATTAGAGTGACATATCTATTAGAGTGACATATCTACAAGCTACAGAATTTCAAGGATTGCTAGCAACACTCAGAAGCTAGGAAGAAGTAAGGAAGGTCTTTTAACTACAGCCTTTAGAGGAAGCCTGGCTCGGCTGACACCTTGGTTTCACTTTCTAGTCTCCAGAAATGTGAGAGTAAATTTGTTGTTTTAAGCCACCAAGTTTGTAATCTGTTACAGCAGCCCCAGGAAACTAATATAACATTTTACTCCCTTTTTAATGTAAGTAAAATTTTACAATATTTTATTTTTACTTCACTACTTACAGTGCACTTTCCGTATCTGCTATATTTTCTTCCATTTTCTGTGACTACATAGAGGTAAATAAAGTTGTCATGAGATCCTACAGCCAGGAAGGTACCATCTAGAATGAAACAGGAAAAAGTGTTGACTAGAGAAATATAATGACAGATTTATTTCCTGTTATTTTAGTGGATCTATATACCAAATGGTATTTCACAAATGTGGTTACATCTCATCAATTTGACTGTTATTTCACATTTGGTGAATGAATTATTCCCCACCTCCCATTATTTTTTTTTTTATTGCAATGTTATTTATTTATTTTTTTTATTAGGATTTGGGTGAAGATTTACAGAGTAAATTCACTTTTCATACAGCAGTTCACATACACCTTGTCTCATGTCATTGACCAAAATTTACAATGCAGCAGCTCCCCTCCCACTTCCTCCCCACAGTTACCTCCTCCCAATGTCCATCCCTTCATACTCTTCTGCACCCTGAGCTATCTCCCTGTGCATAAGCAGCCCTTCCTTCTCCCATGATTGTTCTCTCCAGGGCGTGTGTCTACTTGAGGTAAATGTTTAACTCACATGCCTGTACTTTGTTTGGCTGGAAACCACAGTTGTGGGTTCAATTCCAGACCTGAAGGGCAACTAGGGGCCACAGTCTCAGTGGTTACACCAGGCTCCATTGGACCAGCAAACCTGGTCCCCACCTTCTTCTTTTTTTTTTTTTTTTGCCTCCAAACGATTTTGAGTTTTGTACCACATTATTCTCCCTCTTTATGTAGGATCTCCTACATCCCTTCCAAGTGGATGGCAGTGGTAGCTGGGTACCATCTAGTTCTTCTGGTCTCATAGTTGTATAGGTTGCAGATCGGATGGTGTACCAGTCGCTAGGACTGATTGTTTCCATTAATTTTGGTTTTCTTCTTTCTTCTTGACAAGGAGAGACCTGTTGTTGCACCTAGATGGCAGCTTCCTAGCTTTTAAGGTCCCAGTCGCTACTCGCCAAAGTAGTAGGTGGAACAATGTTTTGTATAGTATGTTATGCCAATTGAGCTTGATGTCCCCTGCCCCACCTCCCATTATTAAACAAACTTTTGAAAAACAATCAGGCATCTAGTAGACTACACCATCCTCTCTTGGAGATGCTCAGAAGCCTTAGGGTCTATACTCAGCTCCTTCTAGTTAGCTAAAAACTGGCCCCTGGATTCAGAAGCAGGCTAACATGGACATCAACCTGCTTTTACAGGTGCAAGAACACAGTATTCATATAGCATAGTGAGCGTACAACTGCTTGTTTCAGCTGAGCACACAGGTTCTTTCCAATTACAAGGGTAGGTTCTCTTGGGCAGGGACCATGTTCTCTTCTTTTATGGTCTCCTCCATTGTAGCTACCACAGTGCTAAGTCCATAACAGATAATCAATTAAGGTCCATTTGATCTTTGGATTTCAACTGTTATATCTGCATTGGTTATCTGGTATTACAGTACTTACAACACACACACACACACACACACACACACACCCGCAAACAAAAAAAGAGTAACTTTCTACTTCAAGTTAACTCCTGCCAGGTTTATAGTTTAAAGCAAACACTCTTCTATCCTTGGACCCCATGCTGACCCCAAACCATTGGAATATATTTTCAAATATAAGAAAGTGTCACTCAGACTAACTTCAGGGAAGAATGGTATGAATAAAAACCATAATAATAAAGAGGAAAATGAATTAGAGTATTATTATGGAAACTTAATTCACATTTTGAATAAAGTATAAAGAATTATTCAAAGCAAAAATGAATTTATCAAATTCCTATATAAACTGCTAAGCTTTTTATTTAATGCATCAATCATTACTATGTAAACAGTGATAGTATAAATAGACACTAAAGAACTTAAAGGGCCTATGAAATTTATACATTTTGAATATTACCATAATTTGTTTTATACTGTTATATACAAAGAAAGGTTACTAAATACATGTAACATCAGCGTAGTACATACTCAAAATTCCAAGTATGTGTAGTTAAAAAAAGAAAAGGGTTTGACTGCACTATATTCAGCTTTCAGTTGCAAATGTAGTCCTAACAGTTTGTTCTAAATTTTATGTTTGATTTACAATGTCATTTAACGTTAGCAGTTCTTTTGCGTTTCCTGCAGATCTTAATCTGATGTTGGGGAAAACATATTCAACATTTAACAACTCTAGAGATTTAAAGAAAAAGTAGCCAACTTTATCAAAGTAAAAATACGCAATTACAATGAAGTGCTGGTAATGCCAAAGTGGGTGGTAAATCTGCCTACCTATTGAGTAGCGCATCACAGACAGCTGTTCATTCCCATCTGTGTGGATAGAAACTAGATCTCTGGTTTCTGCATCCAGAACAAACCACCTGTTAAGAAGTAACAATCAAAATTTTCTTCAGATATAAGCATTTAGAAAGAGAAAAAAAAGCTTTCCTCTATTAAAAAAAAAATTTAATAGCCCTTCTACAGGATAAAGGAGTCCTAGTGGTATAGCGGTTAAAGCGCTCAGCTGCTGGTGGTTCGAACCAACCAGTTGCTCCACAAGAGAAAGATGTAGCAGTCTGTTTCCTTAAAGATGGTTCACAGCTTTGGAAACCCTATAGGGCAGTTCTACTCTGTCCCACAGGGTCACTATGAATTGGAATGTACTCCATGGCAGTGGGTTAGAGTAGTATGTCTTTCTCTTCTAATGAAAGGTGAGTGCATTTTGAAAAACACTGCTAGATATAGTATAAATATGTTAACATAGGCCTGGGCATATTCTCATTTCTACCCAGGTATTCACTGAATGAATGCCAGCTCTGTCTCTCTGTTAGGCAACGACTAAATAGAAAATAAGATGATGACAGGATCAGTGTCTTGAAGATTACACCAGAGTTTGGGAAAAGGAAACAAGCCAACTGAAACAAAGGACAATTAAGTACCAATCTCAGTGATGGTGACTAAATATAATAAAGGAACACATAAAAGGAAAATGAATGATGGCAGCCATAGAAAAACCTTTAGGAGGAGGTAAGATAGGAGTTGAGCTGAACGCTGCGGTAAAGAACTACAGGCAATTCAGGCAGGAGGAGTGGCAGCTATATAGCTACGGAGCTGGAAGGAAAATGGACAGTGAAGATGGCCAGTTCACTTAATATGATTTCATAAGCATCAGCAGGGGGCACCCTGCCTCTGCAATACTTCCAATACGTGTCTCTGGAAATTCTTTGACAGGGATAGCTTTTCAGGAAAAAAAAAAAACATAATTAAAATGCCTGTTGATTTAAATCCAACTACAATAAAAATGACTATTATCAGATCTTTTCCTAAGTGTACTTGAAGGAGGGGATAAGTGCTTCAAAAGAGCATGATAAAATACAAGGTATAAGGCAAAAACTGGGACTAAGGATGGACAACTTAAGGATGGATGGGTATCTCAGGAAGCATCTCCGGATGGAAGGCAGGTTATGGACTGCAGGAAGAGCTGCTTGGAAGAGTTTAGAGTTGAGCACTTCCTGGGTCACAGTAGGCAATAAATATTTGTAGAATGAATAGAACAGATAAACGTAAGTCTTGAATATGACAAAAGCCAAGTTTTATTACGAGTTTATTAAATAGTAGCACTTTATGTAGGAAGAAATGGTTGCAGTGGACAGAATGGGACAAAACTAGAGAAATAAAACCACTAACTTAATCTCATATAACTGGACAGGACAAGAGTAACAAGTTTTATTATTAATTATCCAGATGGGAAAAATTATCCACCACTAAAATAAACCAATAAAAGGAATCATAATGATTCCTTTAATTTTAAAAGCAATATAGGATAACTAATACCTATATTGCTAATTTCCTCTCTAGATTAAAAATGTATTATTTAGGGAAAGAATTTAAAAGGGAGAGTGAGCGAACGAGAGCAAGAGTGCAAGCCAGTGGTGCTGCTTAATATGCCCCAGTGCTTTCCAAGTAGGAAATGAAAGACTAAAGACCCCAGCTCCTTATCTATCAATGAAACTGTTCATTTTAGTGACTTGTGAGCTGAAAATTCTGGGCAGATAACCTAATTCATAAATTCTGTAATCTAGCCAGGTAAGAGAAATAGCTTCTATATGGGAATACTAGAATTTAAAGGCCAATCAGCAGGAAATTGGCACTCTGAAGCCATATACTGCATGTTTATTGATCATTTCCATTTCAAACACTGTGTAAGAAACACACTTTATAGCAACTGGATAGCACTTTTAGATTACAGATTTCTTCTGAGGGTGTTGTTGTTGTTGTTATTTGCCGTCGAGTCCGCCCCGACTCATAGTGACCCCTCCTTGGGTTTCTGAGGCAGTATCACTATGGAAGTAGGATTGCCCAACCTTCCTTCCGGGGAGTGGCTGGTGGGTTTGAACCGCCAGCCTTCTGGTTAGCAGTCAAGTGCCTTAGGCACTATGCTACCAGAGCTCCCCTTCTTCTGAGGATATAATTCATTAATAAATTTTTATGGCCACCATTGTGAAATTCCTCTGGGCCAGGAAATGCCAAGTTAATTATCTTTTTTGAGCAAGGGAATGAAGTGGTATTCCAACTCAGACTGAACAGACATCTCAAGAACAACAAGATACAGTACCACTCTGTAGCTATCAGGTTTCACTTTTTAACAAGTTTATAGAAACTTTACAACAACACCTTGTTGTTGTTGTTGTTGTTATTTGCCATCGAGTCGGCCCCGACTCATAGCGACCCCTCCTTGGGTTTCCAAGGCAGTATCACTACGGAAGTAGGAATGCCCAACCTTCCTTCCGAGGAGTGGCTGGTGGGTTTGAACCGCCAGCCTTCTGGTTAGCAGTCAAGTGCCTTAGGCACTATGCTACCAGAGCTCCTTAGGCTTTTAAAAATTACCAGTTTTTATTCTGGAGAAGCCATAACTGATACTGTTTTTAAGACTGTTTCCAAGTCAGTTTAATCTTCCTAGGGAAATTGCATACAATTTTTTGGAAACTCCCTTTAAAAATAATAAAAAGCCAGAATGCCTGGTATAATAAGGTGAGGAGAAATATAAAACCCTTAGTCATGTACTGGTTAGAGATAATGGTTATCAAAAAAGAAAAATACACACACACAGTCTGTTTTTCTATTTCCTTAATTATATATCCAAAATGAATTCTACTTTTGGCAAGCATATTTTAGTAATAATTCAGTAACTTTGTTATTAAAGATACAACTTCCATATGGATCCCAGCAATAATTTTAAGCCGCCATCCTTTTCACTGCATGGACTTTGTTCTATCCTCAGGAAAGACTTTTGGGCATAGGACCACTGCCCCTAACAATGGTATGGAGAAGACAAAAACTCCTCTAGCAAAGGACATTTCCTTTGAGTTTTAAAGACATAGTTAAATCTTTATTCTGTTTAGTTGCATTTTTATTCTGGCTTAAAGCTTCTGCTTCAGGGTTATTTGTAATCACTGTGTTGGTTGTCCTTGAGTCTACTCTGACTCATGGTGACCCCGTGCATGCAGAGTAGAAATGTAGGCTGTGACCTTTTGGAAGCAGATCATCAGGGTTTACCTCTGAGGTACCTCTGGGTGGGTCTGAATTCCCAACTTTTTGATTAGAAGTCCAGTGCTTAACCAAGGTACCCATCCAACAATTCATAATACTAAACTACTACTGTGAATTTTTTTTAAATTGTTTTATGTGTATTTATTTACTTCAGTTATAAAGGAGCTCTTGTAGTGTAATGCTTAAGGCATTTTGGCTGCTAACGAATGGGTTGGTGGTTTAAACCCACTAGCCGCCATGTGGAAGAAAGAGGCAACAATCTGCTTCTGTAAAGATTTACCACCTTAGTAACCCAATGGGGGTCGTGTTGAGTTGGAATCGACTTGATGGCACTGAGTTTGTTTTTTTTAATCATTTAGGTTATAATCTACTTGGGGGAGGGACTATGTCTCAGATTTCTTTGTACCACTCACTCCATCTACTACTGTACTGTGCAAGTTGCAGGTGTTTGATAAGCAGTTGGCTCAGTAAGTGATTCAAAACTGGGGTTGTATAAGGAAGAATCCAGGTAAATTCATGCTGATGGAGTTCAAAGACACTGTGCACTCTCGAAAATGAACTCGTACTACAGTGAATGGGAGCTCTGGTAGTGTAGTGCCTAAGGCATCTGACTGCTAACCAGAAGGCTGGAGGTTCAAACCCACCAGCCACTCCTCAAAGGAAGACTGGGCAACCTACTTCTGTAGAGATATACAGCCTTAGAAACCCAAGGAGAGGTCGCTATGAGTTGAATTGACTCAAAGGCAGTGAGTTTTATTAAAGTTAATACTGAAAGTTACTCTCTTCTAATTAAAGGACACTGACATCTCCCCTATAAACAGAAGGAGCATTTCTTAGGCTCAGAATCTTTAAAGTCACACTGGCCAGTACTTTATTTTTATCATATTTCACTTCCCATTCTATTTATGGCAGGTGATAATAGCTTTCTATTTATGGTAGTGAAAGAAAATGTTCTTTTAAAAGATATTTATCTAAATATAAAAAATTGACTCAAATTAAAAACAAAATATATCTAATATTTAGGAATATAGTAAATATTGTGAGGATATCTTGGACAAGCCTAGAGGCTTGGTCTTAATTCTGGTTTTGTCCTGCCCCACTGATGACTTGTCCAAGTCACCATCAAAATCAGTGAGTTGAGCTGAATCCGTTAAAGCCTTGCCAGGCCTAGGATTCTGTGATTCCAAGTCTAAACCTGTATTAAATTATTTATCCACTCACTCAGTTCATTTTCCCAGTTTGCTTCCTTGTCAAAGTTGCCACTGTCACTATCACTATAGACTAGAAACTCTGGGGTCTTCTTTGAAGTCAAGTCCCTCAGTCTACACTCCCCTTTCAATCCTTGTATGTTATAAATGGTGGTAGTACATTCTGGTTCAATTCTTTTGATTTCTTTCTCTAAAACATTTTTCAGCTTTAATTTTTACTTTTTATTCTCCTTTTATCACTTCAAGCCTATTGATTTCTCCAGTTCTGGATATCTCACCTCCACTGACCAGGCTATGAAATCACTATGGCAAAAACCTCCTCCCCTTAAATACTGTATCTTCGTTTGGAAATAGAACTGGGTACAGTCAAGAATGTAGTAAGTTCAGGCTGTCTAGAGAATTTTGTCTGAATTGATTCAGACCTGACATCCTTATGGGATGGTAAATATATCTGCTTTTCTGAGGTATAGAGGTGGTATTAAGGTAAGTACTCTCTGAGAACTGGTTTCAGAAAATAGGAAGGGAAAGGACGATTAACTGGGGTCTTGGAAAAATCATGAGGAATGTATTTTTTATCAATAATTCAGAGATTATAAATGTTCACATTCATAATGGTACAGGTTCACATGTATTGTGAACTTCATGAGAAAACTTTTAATCTCACAAAAAAATCTAAAATCTACTTGTACACATGTAGTCTTCATTTCAGTTGAGAAGATTCTATCCTTATAAAAAGTCCTGAGTACTGATATTACCCTGATACCAAAACCATGTGATGTATAAGAAAATGACAGACTAATATCCCTTATGAAACAGATGCAAAAATCTTCAACAAATACTAGCAAACTGAATCTAGCAACAAATAAAAAAAAATTATACATTTTAAATTATAAATCCAAGTGGGATTTAGCCCAGGAATGAAAGGTTGATTTAACATCTGAAAATCAATTAATACTCTCTATTAACAGAATAAAGGACAAAAACGATATGATCATCCCAATGGACCAGAAAAAATAGTTGACAAAATCCAACATTGTTTCATGATTAAAAACATTTAATAACGTAAGAATAGAAGGAAACTTCCTCAACATGATAAAGTGAATCAATAAAAAACCCACAACTATTACACTAGCAACAACATCTGACTGTGTGGATCAAATTATCCATAACAAATTATGGATAACATTGCAAAGAATAGGGATTCCAGAACACTTAACTGTGCTCATGAGGAATGTCTATATAGATCAAGAGGCAGTCATTCAAACAGCACAAGTGGATTCTGCATGGTTTAAAATCAGGAAGGGTGTGCGTCACAGCTGTTTCCACTTACTGTACTCATTCAATCTGTAAACTGAGCAAATAATCTGAGAAGATGGACTATATGAAGAAGAACATAGCATCAGGACTGGAGAAAGACTCATTAACAACCTTAGATATGCAGAAGACACAATCTTGCTTGTTGAAAATGAAGAAGACTTGAAGCACTTACTGAGGAAGAGCAATGACTAGCCTTCAGTATAGATTATACTTAATATAAAGAAAACAAAAATCCTTACAAGTGGACTAATAAGCAGCACCATGATAAATGGAGAGAAGACTGAAGTTGTCAAGGATTTTGTTTTATTTGGATCCACAATCAACAGCCATGGTAGCATCACAAAACGCCCATGGAAGCAGTAGTCAAGAAATCAAATGACATATTGCATTGGGCAAATACGCTGCCAAAGACCACTTTAAAGTGTTAAAAGACAAAGTCAAGGATGTCCACTTGCACCTCTTTTACTCAACACTGTACTGAAGGTTCTAGGCAGGGTAATGAGGCAAGAAAAACAAACAGAAAGCATCCAAATCAGAAAAGAGGAAGTCAGATTATCTCTATTTGCAGATTACATCATTTTGCATGCAGAAAATGCTAAGAAATATAATAAAAACTATTAGAGCTTCAGGATATAAGAACAATAAACAAAAATTATATTTCAATATACTAGCAATAAACATTCCAAAATAAAATTAAGAAAACAATCCCATCTATAATAGCATCAAAAAGAATAAAATACTTAGGTAAAAATTTAACAAAAGAAGCATAAGACTTCTACATTGAAAACTGTAAAACACTGCTGAAAGAAATTCAGTGTCTGTATAAACGGAAAAATGTCCACGTTCAAGGACTGAAAGAACTGTTAAAATGGCCATATTCCCCAAACTGATGTATAGATTCAATATAATCCCTATCAAAATCTGATCCTAAAATTCATGTGGACACTGAAGGGACCAGAATAGCCAAAACAATTTTGAAGAACAAAGTTGGAGGACTCACACTTCCTGATTTCAAAATTCACTATAAAGCTAAGTAATCAAGACTGTAGTACTGGCATAAGGATAGACATACAGACCAATGGGCCAGAACTGAGAGATCAAACACAAATCCTTATGTCCATGTTCAACTGATTTTTGACAACACTGCTAAAGACAATTCAACAGGGGAAAGGATAGTCTTTTCAGCAAATGGTGCTAAAACAAGTGGGCATCCACGGGCAAAAGAATGAAGTTGAGCTCCTACCTTATCCCTGTAAAAAAATAAACTTAAAATGGGACAGAGACCTAAATGTAAGAACTGAAACTATAAAATTCTTAGAAGAACACACAGGGGTAAATCTTTATGATAGTGAATTTCTTAAAAAGGACACTAAAAGCATGAAAACAACTCATTGCTGCTGAGTTGGATCCGACTCATAGTGACCCCTCCTTGGGTTTCCGAGGCAGTATGTATCACTACGGAAGTAGATTGTCCAACCTTCCTTCTGAGGAGTGGCTGGTGGGTTTGAACCGCCAGTCTTCTGGTTAGCAGTCAAGTGCCTTAGCTACTATGCTATAACTGGCTTAACTTTAGCTTAAGTCACTTAATTGTGACCTCATTTTAAGTTTGTTAAGTATAATTTCACAGCCACATAAAATGTTAAAATAACTTCAGGTGAATTTAAATTAAATCAATTTTTCCTTAAAAACTAGAGCTCTGTATGTATGTTAGAATGTGTATGTGTACACACACGCACACTCATGTCTGCATCCGTCCAAATGATGTATCTTCATGATTCAAACCCCCTAGCATTCCATTCATTCAATGTTTAACTCTCTCATGTATATATACTATATATAAAGTATTCTTTTAAAATATGTCAGCCAATGATTTAATCTTCAAAGATCAGACTTCCTTAAAATATTTCTAACTAATGCTATAAACACCATAAACAATTCTCAGAGTAGAATCAGAGCAGTAGAAAGAGACAGGGTAAGGTGCCACCAAAAACAAAAACAAAAAACCTGAATTAAAATTCCAACTCAATCATAAATGATTGAGACTCTGGATCTTAGTTCCTCTCTTCTGCAATAGAGATACTAGTAAATTCTTTGTTGGGATCTTGTTAAGATGAGAAACAACGTATAAAAACTCAGCACAAGGACTGACATCAGATGCTCAGTAAGTAGATGCTCTTATGACTTTAGCATTTATAGTATCTGGTTGCCAAACATATGGATCTAAAGTGAATGGCTTTGTGATATTCTGAAAAGCAGATCAGCACTGCAGTGTAGGTTGTTTCCTGAGTGCTTAAAACAAATTTACAATCTATATAATGTAAACTATGTTTTTGAGAAGTCTGAAATAGTAAAGCAAATTACCACCAACTGCTCTCTTAAGTGTCTAATTGTAAAATTCAGTATTTCACAACTGATCTAATAATATCTCTAATTACGTATCTAAATCTCAAAGTTTATCTTTAGTTTATAGATGTTTTCCCATGATTCTGAAAGATTTTTGAAAGCACTCTGTATGACAAGGAATTTCAACATTTTGACATTCCAGAGGTGTTAATTTCGACCCAACAACTAAAGGGCAAAACTTACTACAAAAAACTAAATGACTAAAGTGTGTGTGTGTGTGTGTGTGTGTGTGTAAGAGCTCTGGTGGCACTGACTGCTAACCAGAAGGCTGGAGGTTCAAACCCACCAGGCACTCCTCAGAAGGAAGACTGGACAATCTACTTCCATAGAGATACCACCTCGGAAACTCAAGAAGGGGTTGCTTTGAGTCAGAATCAACTCGTCGGCAATGAGTTTGGTTTTTTGGTTGTATGTGTATGTGTGCTGGAGGAGGGGTCAGGGTTAAATTAACTAGTTGATTTAAATCATAGGAACAAAAACCAGTATTTTGAAATAGTGTGTTCATGACAGTTTCACCCTATTACAAATTAGGATTCCCTACTTTCTATGGATTCAACTTTTGGAAAAACTAACTTTATTTTTTCCCTCTGCTTCCTTAAAAAGGAAATTAAGTTATTTGTGATGTAGTATACTTATCAGCAGAGGCAACATACAAGAGTCAAATAGTAGTATACAGATAATAACCTTGCAAAGGTACCATAAGAGGTCTGCAGGACAGGCAATTAACAATGATTCCAGTAAATACACCTTTATTATGGATCTGTGTAGCATTCGAAAATGATGACAAAAGCTAGAGCACAAACAACTTATAAAATCTCAATTGAGTTATACTTAGATTCAATTCTCTTCCTTACATAAAACATAATGAAAATTTCTGATACCTCCATAATCTCACAGAGAGTTAAGTCTTTGTTTATTTATCACCTTTCTCAATGAAGCCTATCATGACCACCCTATTTATCATCTCGCAACTGCACCTCCCTCCCATTCTCCTACACTCTATTTCCCCTCCTGCCACAGCTCTTATCATTTTCTGACACACCTATAATTAGTTGCAATGTGTTTTTTTTAATTTTGCCTCCTTCACCCCCACCCCCATTAAAATATGGGCATACATTTTCATTTTGTTCTCTGATGTACCCTGAATGCACAAAGCAGTGTCTACCAAATTGCAGGTGCTCAATAAATTATTACTGTATGATTGAATGACTGGTTTATATAACAGATAAGAGCAACATGCACATTAGTGTGCCACTTAAGAGATTAATTCTCCAGATTAGATTGAGAATATTCCTAAGTAACAATTTTAACACCCCACCACTTCAGATTACTCAGCTCACATTTCCCTTAAAGACCCTACCTGCCTGAGTGCGTTCCTATGGCCACCACTGTGCCACTTGGATGAAAATCTGCACAGTGTCCTGGTTCCTAGAAGAGAGACAGACAGCTGTTGGGGAGTTCATTACAAAGTCTCCCTAAATCTATGGGAATAGTGGCAAAAACGTATTTGAAAATAACTTGCTTTATATAATCATGGGATTCCAATCAACAGCATTATAACTGATGGTAAATATCACATGGATATAAGAGGAAAAAGAATTTCAGAGCAGAAGGTAATATGAGCAATTTGCTGGCAGAGTGCTGAGGAGAAAGGACAACTTTATGGCTAGGCAGTGGAAACAGTAATAAAGATAATAACAACAAACAGTCCTATAGAGTCTAACAAGAACTTGCATACACCTCTGGGCTAGAAAAAGTGTTATCTGGGTGGAGTAGGGAGAAAACACATTAAGAGACCAACTCACAAAGAAGACAGTAAGTAGAATCTGTTAGTGAGCAGCACATACCCAATACAACTGTACTACCACCAGAAGCCCAGATAATTCCGTAACAATTGATGCGTCATGAATACGTAAAGACTTTATGATTTTCACAACTGACATTGGTAGAAAAACTAACGTTTTATCCTGTTAATTGGCTTTTTTTTAAATGAGTTCCTATTATTACTTTATAACTAGACATTTCTCCTCCATTCCACCCTCTTAATGTGTGGTTAGATCAATGCTTAATCTTTCTTCCTTTGTTGCTCCCAACTGCTAGTTTGGGGAGTTTTCCAAACGGTTCACACGCACATCTGCTTCACTCACATCTACTAGTCTGGTCCATTCCAGCCTGTGCTCCACTGAGTTCCACATGCACACCTGCCTGTCCTGAGCACACGTCAATAGTAAATCTTTGAAGGGATGTGTGGCAAGACCCCAAAGCTCATCTGTGTGACCCTGAAAACGAAACACACCCATTATCATAAGAAACAAAGGGCATCATCAAAAATATTCAGTTAATAATTAAAATTGCACAGCATACCTGTACTTCTATATGGAAGCCATCATTAAACGTTCCCCGTAAAATAAAGTTCCGTGATGTGCCTACTAAAAATTGATCTGCTTTTCCTTCTGCTACAGCTCTGATTGTTCCATACTGATCAGGAACCTGGAAAAAAAAATGAATCTGTCAAGTCACCATACATGCATTACTATGTACCAACGATCACCTGAAGACAACATTTATAGCTGTAAGTAATTGTAACTGTTGCTGTCAAGTCCATTCTGACTCATGGTGACCCCAAGTGGGTCACAGCAGAACTGGGCTCTGCAGGGGTTTCAATGGCTGAGTTTTTGGAAGTAGATCATAGGGCTTTCTTTGGAGGAGCCTCTGGGGGAACTCCAATCGCTAACCTTTCCATTAGCAAACTTCGTGCTATCTGTACCACTTGGGCACTGCTGTAAGCAACTGTGGGGTCATAAATCTTACATAAAATTCCAAATCTGAAAAGCACACGGTAATCATACATTAATCATAATTCATTTGGAGTCCACATTCAGACAATTAAGTTTTATAACACAGAAGTTAAAATGCATTTTTATCAGTTAAAATGCATCTGTCAATTTTAAATCTACTTTTTATATGGTTTTAAGATGTAAAGTTTAGAAGTAGGGGAAAAAGGAGTAAGAATTACTAGATTACATGAAGAATGTAGTCTGGGTTTGTTATTAGCTATGTTATTCTGAGTAAGTGCAGTGTAGTAAATTACTTTGTGTGGCTTTTCTACCCATAAGTCTTTGTAAACTCCAAGGTGGAATTTGCTATGAGCAACTGAGGAGCTCCTGA